ATGAATCAACTTTGTTATAATTTGTTACCGTTCAATGACATATTGCAATGACTAGATTAATTTTTAAGAATTTGTGCTCGATAAGGACCCAAACCCGTGGTCGAAACGTCGCACGTTATATTTTGTATTTTTAATTTATTAAACAAGTGTCAGTTAAGGTCGACTAAACTGATGCTTGTTAATCAACAGCTAATATTAAATTTAGAGTATGTAATTTACGAAGACTCATAATGCGAATCAAAATAGAACGAATTAATTGACTTTGTTGCGAAATCGGCTGACAACTTCGTTGTAGGAATAGCGGAAGGATCGATTTTCGGCAGGGTAGACTGACAATGAAACGCTTTCGCCGAGGTCTGAATATATCTATTTATTAAGGATCGAAGGATTGAGAACCTACGAGGAGAGAGGGAGAGAAGGGGGGGGAGATGTACATCGATCTAACATCGAGACCGAGCGTGCAACGATGCATTTTACAAATAGGGTACATAAAGGGAGGGAATAGGCCCCCATTATTTCCTATCCAAACGAGTCCCTCCGCAATCGGTCCTCGCGACTTTCGATGGATCGGGCGCGTTCATCATTCGCGATCGCAGATTATATCTAGCACACGGCAACCTGACGAAAATCTTTCGTCGAAATTTAACGTCATCCCCTTGATCATCTCGACTTATAAGATCAGCGAGATTTGCGAATTTGCTATTTTTTACGAAAGTTGACACAGTTACAATTAAAGATTGTAAAAGTGTGTACATCTCGTATACTTATTTATTCGACGCGAACGACAAAATCAAATATGTTGTACAATAGATATTTAAAGTGCACGAGGTGATAGTGAGGAGAACAATTAAAAATTTGCAATATAGTTATTTGCTAATGTACATAATGTAAATCATTGAAGGAAGAGAGAGAGAGAGAGAGAGAGAGAGAGAGAGAGAGAGAATTTTTCCCAAATTGTCTATACAATTCCTAATACAATTGTTGGCGAAAAGAGATTTTTCTTTCTGTCCTCCAACCTTTCTGAGAGACTTCCAGCAGGGACGCGAAATTTAAAGGGCTCCCAAATATTAGTATGCCGGCAACAAAGTAACGTTTGGTATTGCAAACGCTATTCGTCACACTTCGATCTTTATCGCGGCCCATTACCCAGGATAGAACGCGATTAACTCGACGTAAGTGTATCGCATCAATTTTCACGGCGTTATCAAAAGAGGAGCGCCGCGGCGGTCGCCGCGACGGGAAGATCGATCGGCGGTATGGGTGATCGTTCGATCAGACGTGGCGCACCCGATACCTGCCCCGATATCCGCGTCGTCGGCCAACGTCGGCCACGTTCGCCACGGGTGCCGAAAAAAAGAGGACCGGACGAGCGCACGCATGCACGCACGCACGCACGCACGCACGCATTCACGCACGCACGCACGCTGGCACGCACGCACACACACACTCACTCACATATATGTCCGCGCAGTTCGTGGTCTCGGAAGCGAGCGAAAGAGGGAGAAAGATGGGGAATCCTGCTCGAGATGAGACGAGAATGACCGGGGGCAGCGCACGCGAGTCCGTAATGATACACCGAAAGGAGGGATGGAGCTCGCGACCAGCTCGATGGAAAAAGAGAGTGGACACTCTCTGGCGCGAGCGAGCGGAATTTCGCGTGCGGAATTACGTACTCGCCCGGTGCCGAGCCGATCAGATCGGGGAATCATCCCAAAGTTCCTAAAAACTATTTGCAGCAGTGAAAAAGGAACGAGAGGGAGTGGACGTGAAGTAAAAATTAAGATAAAAGGAATAAAAATGTATGGACAAGTGTAGATTTTATTAACAAGTTTTTAATTCGATAGTAACACGCTTGTTGTTCGATTATTGTTGTCACTAGTGGTACATGCACGAGAATTTTGTGGGCCCTGAAGAAAATCAATTCGACACTGCGTCTCGCGTCACTGGCCGCCGGCGTGACGGGAAAAGAAACGTTTTCAATTTACGGCGCCGGTAAATTAAAAGTATTCTGGCCGCTCTCAAAGAGGCACTCTACGGCTTCACTATTCGGCACATTGTGTCCTCTCGTCCATAGTGGTAAGCAATTCTCGCTAAAGTAGATTGTAGTCGTTAATGGAAGCAGGATTGATCGCTGAAGCGTAGATTAACTTTGTCGGGGCGAAGGGCGAATCTCGGCGGAGTCAGCGTCTTGGCGGATTCAATGGAGTCGCTGTTGCGAGATCAGTCTATTGTCTCCGGAAAGCCGCGAAATCTTGGCCGAAAGCCGCGCGATTCGGAATAGAGCGTCCTCTGATCCCTTTAAGGAAACGAGTTGGGATATCGTTGGAATCAGGATCGGCAATCAATTTAGCTCGAGCGTCTTGGATCGCGCGCCCTGATCGATCATTCACTCGTGTGAAAGCTTTTCGGACGCGACGGGGAAATCGCCCGGCGGCGAGGCTCACTCCATCCTTTCGCTCGACTTTCTGCATCCATATGAGGATGCACTCGCCACGTCGATTTCGATGCGGTTAACGTGTATCAGTCAGTCGGGCATAAATAACGCCGCATACTCGAGATACTTGGCTCGCTTATTAGATCGCGTCGCGTGCAGTCGCAATCGTTTATCATCGGCGCACAACAGTGTGTTATGCAAATGGCGAAAGAATGAATTCGTCGGGGCACGGCGGGACTAGTAGAAATTGAGAAGCTGGGGAGGTAGCGCCTCGTTGAGGGATCACGATTGAATACGATGGTTACCGTCGATGATCGTTTACGATTTTCTGGAATAACGGCCCGAGAAAATTCTCGGGTATTCGCCGGCGAACACGCGAGAAAGGGGGCAACCGTTGGGATGGGCGCATATGCAGTCGCACATATTGTGTGTATCGCGCCGGAATTACGTACGGCGTACAAATTGTCGACGGATAAACGAAGATAATTTGGCGCTCTCAGGGAAGTCGTCAATTATCATAATTCCGCGAATGCCACAATTTCCAAATGCAAGTTGCAAACGGCAACGTTTCAGCGGGAATGCGTGTGTATTACGTACGTGACCTGTTCTGTCTCTTTCTCTCTCTCTCTCTCTATCTCTTTCTCGGTCGAAACGCCGCTGTGCGTCAAAAGGGCGGGGTGGAGATGCAACGTAGGGTAACGCGAGATAAGGGGGAGAGGCGCGTACATACGTGTTCTCCATTTGTTACAGATTCCGTTCTCTCAACAAGCAGAAAATACGCTGTGAACGTAATTACGCGTCGTCGGCAGGCAACGTTCGATGGGTTAATGCGGCCGCGCGATATTAAAGTATTTATCGCGTGCAAGAGGTAGAGACAAGATGTAATTTCACGTCGGACGCCATGCGCGTAACGCCTCGCGTCGGGCAGTCCTGTTTTTGCAGATCTTAAATTCCACGTTGTTGTGTTTTCGGCCGAACGCCGCCTTTATCACAAATTGGATTCCGCGTGAAGAATCAGAGAGAAAGAGAGGAAGAGAGAGAGAGATTCCTCTCGCTAGGCGAGGAAGAGGTAGCAATTTATTTGACCGTTCAGGTAGCAATTTATGCCTACCTGTATCTCTTCCCTCGCGACAACGGACGACAAGTGAAACATTTGTGTTGAAAATTTCGCGACCGAGGCGGATAAGTTGGGGCCAGCCAGCAGTCAAAGTTATCGTAATTCACGTAATGCCCCGGATAACTGTGGTACGGTGGAAGCACGCGGGCGCGAGAGACGCAGCTTCGGAGCTAAATTATCGGGAGATAAACGTGGCGGTAATTTAGCGCGACTTTGCCAATTACCGCGCTTCTAAGAATGCCGCAATTTTGATACGCGTGCGTGCGGTTGCGGTCGCGTTCTTAATGGACCAACGTGTCCACAACCAGTTTCGTGAATGAAACAGTGTTGCGGGACGGACGGAGAGAAAAAAGGGCATGAGCAACACGAGCGTAAATATCGGCAGAGACAAAGAGATAACTGACGGCCCCTCGGCCGATTTCCGATACTGCATTTCTTCGCGATCGCGGGAATTGTATGTACGAGTGTAACGCAATTGCGTGCTACGGAAAACGCGATTGTGCTGACGCAAGATCCCTAGATACGTGTCGACGCCAAATGGAATATTCATGCGTTTAACGCACATGACTTTGAAACGCGTCGTTATTTCCTCCTCGTAATAATTTGATCGAATATGAAACGTTAGTGCCGGTTTGCGCACTGTCATTTCAAAAATTTAAGAACATATGTGCAAAATTATTCGTCGTGTTAGCATAACAATTGCAATTGAAATACAAGATATATGGTATGACCGACGAATGCTTTAACGACCGTCGACGGAAAGTCACTGTCGATTTGAATAAAAAAATGCGATGTTCTCTTTTACTTAATGTTTCGAAAAACGAGATTAAATACATTTTGACATATTTACGTTACACTGAATTTATTAAATTATGTTAACTCCACAATGCTAGATTAGCGTTTTCTCTCTCTCTCTCTCTCTAAAAAGTTCTCATTTAAAATATTACTAATTTCGGTTTCGTAAAAAGAGAATTCGAAAACTTATTCCTCTACACCGAGAAAAATAACCGATTGAATATAATCGGATAATCCCATAACGTAATAACAAACGGATATATTAAATTGTATATCCGACGAAAAATATGATCGGTTTTCCGATGAAATTTTATCAGCAGCTACATTTCATCGGATATATTTTTTCCGATTAAATTACGGATACATCCGATGAAATTTATCCGAAGAAATGCAGTTACCGATAAAATTTGATTGAAAAACCGATCACATTTTTCATCGGATATATCCGTTTGTTATTATGTAATTGGATTAACCGATTATATTTAATAGGACATTTTTCGCAGTGCAGGCATCATCTGTTGGTTCCACCATGTATTTATTGCCCCTGGAGTGAAACCTGCTCAGTGAAAAATCGATTGTTAGATCGTATAATCGTTGCGAAAAACGATTTGTCATTGAATTTGGACGTGGAAAACCTATTATCTCATAATAGAGGACTTTCCTCTACGATATATTTTATCATTAGATCATAGTTTATTTCGCAATTTTGCCTAATTTACTTTTCAACTTGACAAATATCACCAAATCATTTCTACCGAGCCAATAAATGAAGAAATGATATAATCTAGCGCACCTACAAATTTATCTGTTAGGTACATACTCACGCAAATCCTACGGTCTTACCATCGATAATCGCTGCAGACAGGATTTTCGGAGCTTATCTCGAGCGAACTAATTTCCGATTCGCGCGTCGCATATTATACAATGTATCGCATATTTATTATATAAGCGTGCGGCGTGGCATTTACCGACTTCTCACTTTCCCGTCCATCCCGACGTACGCGAGATCCCTCCTTCTTCGGCGGGCAACACTGTTGCAGTCGGTGCAAGGCGCGCGCGGCGCGCACGCACGTCGAGAAAATAAAACACCGCCACTGCCCCGGGAGCGCATTTCACGATACGCCGCTCTGCCCGAGAAAGGGATCGACCACACGGCGGGTTGGACAAAGATGAAGAACCCGGGTTCGGTGGGAACCCAAGAAGTTGCTGCCGGTCCCGCTGCCGTTGCCGCTCCTAGCGATGGGAACCAATCGCGCTCGACCACTCGACTCCTAGGTTTTTTTTAACTGCAAGTTTGAAACGGCAGGTCGGACATTATTCTCGATCACTTAATCTATTTCGGATTAATTAACTTTTACCGAGGGGGAAACCGCTGACCAAAATCTTGTACACCGATGCCCACTAATGCCCGGTGGGCATTACTTTATCTTATTATTTTATTTTACCTTGTTTCATCTTATTTTATCTAATTTTATCTTTAGGATGCCCAAAAAATGCCTAGTAATGCCCAGTAATGCCGCAAATCTGTACACCACAATGCCCTCAGCGGTTTACCCCTCGACTTTCATTGTTTCTTCAAGGAAACTGTCAAGGATCCGCGCCGAAGTGCCCGAGACACTCTTCAGTAGCTTCGATAAGAAGACGATAACAATAATTGTTGAAATGTCAGTTTAATATTTTCGTATTAGCCAATGTATTAATTTAATACATTTAACGTGTTAACAAGTATTACTTAAAATTTGGTATAAATTTGTAGAAGTTACTGAACAAAGGCCGGTTTCGTCTGGTCCGTTGCCGACTGTGCGTACGAACTTTTTCACGCTTGCTATGTTAAAGCCTAAAGGCTAAAGTTTCCTTCGCACCTGATTATTGGGAGCGGTAAAAAATAGCGGCGTAGTAGTCCTAAATTTACCCGCGCCGAAGCTCGCTCCTCCTCGCAACCACATTGTATTAAGTAACAATTACCGACCGCAAGCGCGCAGCATCGACGCGCCGCGTGATCCTCCGGCTGCGTATCGCCGGCAAAAAATGTATTATTCCATCAATTACGTAAGATTCAAGTGTCGATTCGCGATCGCCGCGTATCTTACCGCCGCTGTAGAAACAAGAGTGGATGATCGGACCGGGGATGCACCCATCCCATACGATTATCTCGGCTATTATAAACAGACTCTAAAAGAAGCAACTCGAAGTGATGAGAAAGGGGAATCGCGAGCCCCGAAGAGATCGGTAGAAGACGAAGAAGAGATTCTCTTTTGAAAGGGGGTGGAAGTGATGCGAGATAGCCATCGGCATTCCGTGGAAGGAAAGCGCAGGAAGATGGCGGGAATGGCGGGAAGATGAGGAGAAGGAGAGAGAAAGAGAGAGAAAGAGAGGAGATGAAGCCTCGAGATAGAGCGAACGTGGCGGTCGCGTGGCCGGCGAAGAGGCGCGCGCGCGCGCGCGCGTGCACGAAAACTCATCGCGATGTTTATTCCGTTGGGTTGTTTATCAGCCGGTATATCGAAACTCATTTCGACGAACCGGAGAGTCGCGCCAACATTAGTAACGATAACCACGACACTTGTCGGATAATTCAATGTATGGTTCAATTTCACTCTAATTACATCCTTCGATATCTCACTCCTCGTCTCTCCATTCGCGCGCGCAGCGTTCCGAAAATACGTGCGGCGCACGTAATCGCCGGAATGCCGGCGCTTCTGTCTATATAAACTTTATGAGGAAAAAATTACGAGACGGTTTTCCCCCGGCGACATTTATTTCTCATCTAAATTGGGATTAAATAAGGGAGCTTTTATCTCGCGGCGCGCACCAATCTCCTTCAATTTCATTACCTCCCGTTTAATCGTAGCCCGATCAGAAATAATACTCTTGATGTCATTATAAGCTTGTCGTTATACTTGTTTTGATCTTTGGATCATTTATACGACGGTATAAAATATATTAGCGACCTGCCTTTTTATTTTTGCGTCGTCGAGATGGAATGCGCTCGCTGAGAAAAACTTCCATCGGATAAACCAATTAAATGGTGTTTCCGATGGTTAGGTGGGCGTTTTTCTTCCCGCTCGGATATCTTCTCTTTACAAAGTTGCCACGCACTCGTCAAGATTGAGGACAAACTCCTTCAATCTTAAACTGTAAAAATTAATCGTCAAAGTCGTTCGCAAAACCTGGGCGGCGTTTTCGTGCTTTTCGAAGTTTGACAAGATCTGCCATAAATTTCGCTTGGGAGATTACTTCCTGATCTCTCTCTCTCTCTCTCTCTCTCTCTCTTTCTCTCTCGCGATACCAATGCAATTTACGCACGATGGCGGCAAGACGAGTATAACGAGAATATTACCAATTTGTAGCGACGCGTCAAGCGATGGAAAGGACAGGCTGAAGATAACGATCCGGCTTCTTTGTTACTCGTAACACGAGGCGATTTGACGCGTCGGCAGTTACCGGGGACATCTTCATTGTCGCACCCACGAGAATCGGTCCGTGGATCTCAAGTGCCTCCAGAAAAGTACACCTACGTGTATATACAGCGCACGCTTTTTCGCGAGATCGTTATAGCGCTTTAAATCCCTCCGGGAGCGCTGGCCGTGCCCATTTCCAAGGTCAACTCGGGTGCTCCTGGGTGTAATTTCGATTTTTAATGCCCGTTGCGGAGCCTAAGGTGCGCCGAATGTTCGCCGAGGTCTCGTTACTGGGACCTAACTCGCCGGGATCATTGTTTGTCCGTGCACGCGCGCGCGCGCGAGCGTAAAGTTCGAGGGACGAAAAAAGTGACCGGCCGCGGCGTTTGTTCCGCTCGGGCCCCGAAATGATTGGGAGCACTCGGCTCGGTTTGTAGGTTCGTATGCCACGGGGCCAGTAGGCTCCCGTGCGTCGAGAGGCCGCGAGCACGTGTGCGTGCTCCATCGGACACGCGCGTGCTCGCGGACCCGCTCGGTCCGCGAGCACGAGCCGCGCTTCGGTTTTAATTCGCATTGATCCAAATTGCGTACCGGGGTCACTGGACGGGGTATGAAGCATAAGAATAATGCCAGCTCTCAATAAGTAGCACCTTTCTCCACCGTCTTACAGCTCCTATTCATTGGATGAATATTCTCTATCTCCTCGTTTTCCAATAAAATTTTTCAACGTGACGAAGAATCATGCAAACGCGATAGACGCCAATATTTTTCTAATACAAAATATTTTACGAAAGACATTCTCGTACCTATAGGATATTGTAACACATATCAAATCACTTATTGCAATTACTATTTTTCCCTTTTCATCCCCCCCTCCCCCCTTTCCTCTCTCTCTCTCTCTCTCTCTCCATATTCTTATCTCTATTCTACTCTTCTTCTGCTTCCTCCTCTCACTTGTCGTTTTTTCTCTCGTTCTCTTTTTCTCCCTCTTCATCTTGTTCTATCTTCTTCTTCAGCTTTCTCTTTCTCACATTAATAATTGCACCGTCGAAACCTGTCCGGTTTATACTCGGCCGGAGTGCAAAGGGAGGAGTAGCACGCGGACCTGCTCGTTGCCGCTCGTCTGAGGTACTGGTAATTGTCGGAGCCTCTCTTTCGGGTCCTCGTTAGATCCGCTCCGCTTGGCTCGTCGTGGGTCCGCTGTTGCTGGAGAGCTCCGATACCACACAGATCGACCGCAACTCCGCGCCGGTTTCACCACCGAAATTCGCTCGGAATTGGTCCAGCTTGCGGCTCGCCGCCGCAAATCGAGCACGTGCTTTCTACGAGGGCCGTATACATGACTGTCCAGTCGTCGCGATGCAGAATTTTGAATTACATTGCGTAAATCCGACCACCGCGTGTGTCAGGATATTCGGAAGATCATTGATATTGCACGCGAAGCTAGCGCCACACAATGCGCAATTCGTCATTCGTGATTCGCAAAAATTCATTGGACATCCGTTATTACTTACCACATTATTCGTGATTCGCTGTTTAACATTCGTAATTTGTTATTTGTCGTTTCATTCGTATTAACTTGAGCAACTTTTAAACCTTTTCCTTTTATTACAGAACTTGCATCATAAGTCTGCAATTAGTCACGTTACAATATAGTAAAAAACCACTGTTTTCGCCAGAAAACCGCTCGGCGAATCACTGTAAATCGACGAATTTTTCCTCTACTCTCCCCCCTTCTCTCTCTCTCTTCTCTCTCTCTCTCTCTCTCT